TTTTTTTTAAAACTGAAATCAATCTCTAAATAAAACTACCAAACGCATTTTTAGAAATAATTCAAAAATGAAACTAAAAACGTTTTCATTTTCATTTTCGTACAAAAAATAAAAACGTTTTGGAACCAATTCCAAACGCACCCTTCTTTTCTCATTTCCTCATTCATATACAGTAAAAGTGAATGTGCCTTATAAATTAATGTCCCCACCTTCAAAAAACTCGACACGTAGTTTCCATTTTAACTTATCTAGTTGCAATGCATTACAAGTCGAATTTCTTGAAGTTACCAAAGTAAGAACCCCACGAACCCTAATTTCACTCACATTTTTGAAACGACGTTTGACGCAATAAAAATAAAAAATAAAAATAAAAATAATTTTTGATTTAGTGTAAAATGAAAGAGAAATGAAAAACGATTTTTAATTGTTTTTTATTTTTTATTTTTATTTTTTCCTCTCTCGAGCACATAGAGAGATATATATATTAATGAGTTTTTTTCTACTGAAAATAATTTTTAGATAAAACTATCAAACGTGTTTTTAAAAATAATTTTTGTTTGAGATTAAAAATGTTTTTATTTTTATTTTCATATAAAAAAAAATTATTTTAGAACAAATTTTAAACGCGTCTGAAATATTTTTATTATTTTTTTATTTTTTTGCACGTTTTTTCCTTAAAGACGCCAATTTTGTTGGCTAGAATCTTAAAAGAAGCCGATTGGTAGGCAGACGAAATTACTCCAGTAACCTAACTTTTATCCGCCCAATTACAATCTTCCTTAAGCTCACACTTACCATCCATCTTGGATCAATGCGCGTGTGGAAAAAGTTGAGGCTTGTTCTTTTAGAATTTAACTTAAGTATAATTTTTGAGTTGAATTTAAATTATAACTTGAGTTAAATTTATAATTTGAGTTTGTGTTTAGTTGTGTATATTTGAGTTATGGTTTGAGATAATAATCTTTTTGAGTTTGTGTTTGAGTGAGTCAAAACTTGAATTTGTATTTATATAGTATTTTAATAAAAACTCAATGCTGATGAAAAATTTTAATAGAGTATATGGGTCGGGTTTTATTCGTCTTTTCGTTGTCAACGCATAGAAAAAAAAATCATCTCAATCAGAATTAAAACGAAAAAGTTATAGTATTTTTAAAAATAGAAAAAATACTGTTCATTAATTTGAGTTCGAGTTTCTGAACTCAAGTTGACGGAGAAATTTGAACTCGAGTTTTAGTCCTAAACTCGAGTTTCAACTCAAATTTAAACTTAAAAGAATATGAACTCAAATAAAATTATAATTCGAGTTGTCTTTTTTTGAATTTTTCACTCAAAAGGACAAGCCCGGTGTTTTTCTTTTAGCTCAAAAAGCTGGAGTGTGTTTCACACGCTCCTCATCAAACAGTGGGCATATAAACCAACTAGCAAAAGAACTCCAATATATCCTTTTGGTGGGGCCTACTTCTTGACAAAGCCAACGGTAATTGGAGGTAAAGTAACAGTTCCCGACTGGTCGCTTTTATGTGCTTTCCCTCTTTCGCACTCACTCTAGTCAGTAGTCCACAAGCAACCACGCTCTCCGGTACGTTTACCGAAATCTCTCCTTTCACCGGAGAGAGGAATGTACGGCCGTGATCTATGCTTCTCTCTTTCTCTCTCCCATCATCATTTCCTCTGAGAGCTTGTGATCGGTTTCAATGGAGATTTACTCGTCGGGCGATGAGTTGGACCGGTCAAGCGAGCGGTTCGAGAGCTACAGCCTAAGCGCCGACGTCAGTGAGTCGGAGAGCTCCGGCAGCTTCTCGCGCCGCCAATGCGATCACGAAGCCGGTACTTCGAGCTCTCTGGCTTCTTCGCCTCCTCGGGAACCGGCTTCTGCCGGTAGTTCTGTTCTCAGGGCGCGAGTGAACGGGGATTTTCCGGTAACCGGTAGTAAAGCTCGAAACGTCGTCGTTCCGGCGACGAATGCGGAGAAGCCGGAGACTGACTTGTCCGGTGAGTTTTGTACAGTTTGTTTACTTAATTATGGGTCAACATATCAATTTTTGGTCAATATGTGAACCTTTCCGAAAATATCCGGTGATCCCACGGTTCTTATTTGCGTTTGACAAGAAAGACGACTCGGGTTGACCAATGGAAATAGAGTGGACACTAGATTACGATGCTGAAGTCAACTTAGTAAAAATGTTTTTTTTTTTTTTTTTTTTTTTTTTTTTTTTTTGTTAACGTACTAGTAATACAATTAACATTTAATTCGTTTATTAACCCTTTTGTCTGGACAAAATTTAGATGGATCTTGTTAATTATACATTACACTTATGAGATAAACGTGTATAATCAAACTTCAAATGGAAGATCATTAAGAAGACTTTCGAAAAATGTACTTGCTTTACCCTGTTCATTCTAATTTAGCTAATCCTTAGTTAAATGTATTTGTGCATTTTTTTATTTTATTTTTAGTTTAGCTAATTCTTTCCTCTCTCTCTCTCTCTCAAATGATTTATGTATTGACATTTTTTAATTCATGTGATAGCAGAAGTTGAATTGATGAAGGAACGGTTTGCTAAGCTTTTGCTAGGAGAAGATATGTCAGGTGGAAGCAAAGGCGTTTGTACTGCTCTTGCGATCTCCAATGCCATCACAAACCTTTCCGGTTTGAGATATTTTCTCTCCTTTCATTTTCCCTTTTCCGATTTTTCTTATTCCAATTACATATAACAGAAATTAATTCTTATTTGATATTTGTTGGCATTGGTTTGATTTTGGCAGCTGCTGTATTTGGGGAGGTGTGGAAGTTAGAGCCGTTGTCGCCCCAGAAGAAGTCAATATGGCGCCGGGAAATGGATTGGCTATTGTGTGTGAGTGACTCTATAGTTGAGCTCATACCATCACTGCAAGAATTTCCTGGAGGTGGAACATGCGAGGTTATGGTGACTCGGCCGCGCTCGGATCTCTATGTCAACCTCCCAGCTTTGAAGAAACTTGATGCCTTGCTTATTAGCATCCTTGACGGGTTCCAAGAGTCAGAGTTTTACTACGTTGACCGCGGGATTATTGTGCCTGATGATACTGAAAGGTTTGTTCTGTCTTCTTCTTCGTCAGGGACACCTTCAATTCGACGAGAAGAGAAGTGGTGGCTGCCGTTTCCAAAGGTCCCACCAAATGGTTTATCCGATGATGCAAGGAAGAGACTAC